AAGCAAACATCACCACCAAAACCCCTATAGCATGCCATTTAAATGGATCACTTAGTATTGAAAAATGAAAATCACTCCGAAGGCTTCTTGCTTAGCAGGCTATTCTATAGTGTTTGCAGTTGTTATTTTTTAATGAATTGTTAGAAACCTGGAATTTCATTTGTAGAGCTGTTATGTGAGCCAGAGTTGCATGACTATTTTTCAGTTGTACAAAGGTTAGTCAGAGCTAGATATAAGAAAACATTCCTTAGAATTTGCCAAATTGAGATTTCAGTATTTTTGTAGAAAGTTTTACTTCAGTCACAATTGTGAGTTATAATACTTTTGAGCATTCTTTGGATGATAAAATCCTCCCCTCTTTTTTAATGCTTCATCTTCAGCTATTGGTATTGGTGAACTGTAAGATACTGCTTTTCTTTGTATCCTGTGGATTTAAGTTCTTCAATTCAAAGCTTGTTATAAAATTGTACTCATTTTTACACCTGAATTTTGAAATTCAGTTGTAAAATCTGTAAAATTCAGTTATAAATAAATATTTTTAAATTTTGTTAATGTTTATTTATTTTTGAGAGAGAGAGAGAGAGAGAGAGAGAGAGAGAGAGAGAGAGAGAGAGAGACAGAGTGTGAGTGGGGGAGGGGCAGAGAGAGAGGGAGACACAGAATCTGAAGCAGGCTCCAGGCTCTGAGCTGTCAGCACAGAGCTTGACGCAGGGCTCGAACCCACCAACTGTGAGATCATGACCTGAGCCAAAGTCGGATGCTTAACCAACTGAGCCACCCAGGCGTCCGCAGTTGTAAAACTTAGCTGTAAAATCTTATTGAATGATTTTTATGGTTTAATCAAGTTGAGTACATTTTGATGTTAGCAAGATCCTATTTCCTATCTTTTATAAAGTTTTTTTCCTTGTCTCAGGGTAATCGGTTGTAACCTGCTGTTTTCTTAGCTTGCAGAACACCGAGAAGCACGGCACACCTACAGTCTGGAGTCTCTTTGCCACTGCCCTTTTTATGAAGAAGCCATGCATTTAGTTGAAGAAGGGAAAATTTACTCGAGAGTGCTTAGGTGCCATTTCAATTTTGCTTTTGTTTATGAAAACATTAAGTTGCCGTTGCTATGTTTGTGTAATATTTATGAAAGATGTTTATAAGAATGGGAGGAAATGTTTTTTAGGCTCAAAAAAAATTTTTGCATGGCTTGTCAGTATTGAAGACATATGTTTTATATTAAAGTCTGGAGGTTAAGCCTTGAGTCCAAATTTGTAGTGGGCTTGATCTTGAATGCAGCTTAACAGTTGTCTTTCCTGTTTATTACATAGAACTGAAATGTTGGAGTGCCTAGGAGACAGTGATTTTCTTGCCAAACTTCACTGTATTCGACAGGCTTTTCAGGTATTTTTTTTTTTTTTAAACATTAAGTGACTTCACCTAGCCAGTCATCCTCACCCTCATGCTATAGAGTCCAGCTGTATATAAACAGAACAGCTCTTTGCTCTTCGTTATCCTTATTTTTAATGGCAAATATAAAATCTCCTAAATTTGTTTTTCCTGGCTGCTATTTCCTTTCATTTGTCTTCATTTATCTTTGTCCTCTGCCATGGTTCCCCAGGTCCACCACACTTTGTCAAACAGGGTATTTTGATACTGGAGATGTGTACAAATGGCTACGTAAAATAGAAATCCTTTCTTATTATCAATTAGTGTGTTTTCTAGATTGTTTTTTATTTGAATCAGTTGTAAAATCATTGATTTCCTAAAATGAAATAAAATCATTTAAGAAAAAAAAGTATCTTTATTTTTCTATGTTTTGGGGGCTATATAACATTTATTTTGGATTTTGTAATATCGAACAGAATTTAAATTCATATTTATTTCCCTTTAATCTTTTTTGATTATAGGCTTCAAGAGCTTTTTATTTTAGTAAATTACAATGTTCTCTGTGGTCTACCTGCAGAGATAGTGCCACATCCAATGCATTGACTATATCAGGGTTGTTTATACATAGATGTGCTATAGCATCAAATGTCCATTCAGATTAATTATTGGTTCTTTTTTTCTTTGGGGTTGAATGTTTTTTCAGGTAATACTTTCGGAAACAGCCAACAGGATATTCCTTGCTGAGAGTGGAAGGAAAATTTTGTCAGCATTAATTGTGAAAGCACGAAAGGTAAACTTGTTTTGTTGGCAAGTTTTTATTGTTCTTGTTTCATTTGAACTGAAGATTACAGTACATTGAATTTTTAATCGAAAAAGTTTTTGCAGATTGTTGCAAAGGTTCACATACTAAAAATAAAGTAATAAAAATAAATTACCAAAGAGCATGATTTCTTCTTGGGTTGATTTAGTTTCTGTGTATGAAGTCTACACTATTTTGATCAAGTTGTTGCTCATAAATTATTCCCGGTTTGCTGAAAGTCTATGAATGTCATGTTGAGAGTCATCATTAGATATACTACAACTACCACTATTATTATTTCTAATACTTCGTCTCTTCCCTCAAATCCTGGTTGGTAAAGTTCTAGGAAATAGAATAGGTCTCAGAAATCTGGGAATACAAATTGAGTTGCCTCTTACTCCTACTCATGGGACTAAATGAGGCAGAGCAATCGCAAGAACTTCATGAAGACTGTAAGGAACCACTTCCCTTTATGCAAGCTGTGTCCACATGTTGAGAAAAAATCAAATAAAACAGGCCTTTCTTGAGCCACTTGGAACACTTGGTTTTCTGACCCAATTCTTTTTTTTTCTTAATACTTTATTGTCAAGTTAGCTAACATGCAACATATACAGTGTGCTCTTGGCATCGGGAGTACATTCCCATGTTTCATCACTTACATACAACACCCAGTGCTCATCCCAACAAGTATCCTCCTCAATGCCCATCACCCGTTTTCTCTGCCCCTCCTGCCTCCCCGCCTCCCCGCCTCCCCGCCTCCCCACCCCTTTCCACTCTCAGTTTGTTTTCTGTATTTAAAAGTCTCTTATGGTAACTTTTTCTTTCTTTTCCTTCCCCCATGGTCTTCTGTTGAGTTTCTCAGCTTCCACATATGAGTGAAAACATATGATATCTGTCTTTCTCTGACTGACATATTTCACTTAGCATAATACCCTCCAGTTCCATCCACGTAGTTGCAAATGGCAAGATTTCATTCTTTTCTATTGCCAAGTAGTATTCCATTGTATCTATATACCACATCTTCTTTATCCATTCATCAGTTGATGGACATTTGGGTTCTTTCCATAATATGGCTGTTGTTGATAGTGCTGCTATAAACATTGGGGTACATGTACCCCTATGAATCAGCACTCCTGTATCCTTTGGATAAATTACTAGTAGTGCTATTGCTGGGTCATAGGTTAATTCTATTTTTAATTTTTTGAGGAACCTCCACACTGTTTTCCAGAGCGGCTGCACCAGTTTGCATTCCCACCAACAATACAAGAGTAACCCACTTCTTTTGAACCTCAATTACTTCATTTGTATAATAGAATTATATTTATGGTACACCATTCAGAGGGTTCTTATGATGATTAATTAAAAGATAAGTGGAGGGTCACCTGGGTGGCTCAGTCAGTTGAGTGTCCACCTTCAGCTCAGGTCATGATCTCACAATTCATGAGTTTGAGCTCCACATTGGGCTCTGTGCTGACAGCTCAGAGCCTGGAGCCTGCTTCGGATTCTGTGTCTCCGTCTCTCTCTGCCCCTCCCCTGCTCATGCTCTCTCTCTCTCAAAAATAAAAAAAAAATTAAAAATAAATAAATAAAAAGATAAGTGCAAAATAAATATAAGGTGATATTAACTACTTGCAATTCCCAATGTAAATCTTATGTTGCTTCCTTGGCGTTCCCATGACAGATTAAACCCAGTGATTTCAACTAGACTTTCCCCAAGAGGAGTAGAACCGGATCAAAAGCATCACATAGTATCTGCTATAACCAAGTTTTCATTTCAAGAACTGACCTAAGTTGGCATACATATTTGATGAGTAAGCAGTTTGCTTATGACATGTTACTAATGTTCTTAGTCTTGGCTCCTGCCAAATGTTGGAACAAAAATATATTAAACCAAGTGAATATGTCATACCTTGAAAATATATTTTAATTCAGTTACTTAATAGAATAAAGATCTAACAAACATACTTGAAGAGCAACTCATTTACTTTGTAGGCTTGAGCCTTGTTATAAAATTAAGTTTAGGATTAAAATGTGTTTTCTTCTGCAGAATCCAAAGAAGTTTGAAGATGTTTTTGATGAAATGATCTATTTTTTAGAGCAGACTGATCACTGGGATAGTACTGAAATGGAACTTGCTGCTAGAGGAGTAAGTTTCAATTTTTTTTATAATATTCATTCCCCTTAGTTATATTCATATGATATTTACATTATCTGAGGCCACTGTTTCCTTGTCCTTGTTAAATGACAGTAAAACCAATTATGTGATAGCGGTTATGACAGTCATAAACAATAGCAACCACAGTCTTTATACTTTGGGGCAATAGTTGAAAATGATTGTTTTTTTAAGCTCATCATTCGTTTGTTCCTTCCTTCTTCCTTCCTTCTTTCCTTCCTTTTTCTTTCCTTCCTTCCTTCCTTCCTTTCTTCCTTCCTTCCTTCATAAATGAGAAGGCCCTAACAGAATGGTTATGGTGGCCTGTGCAAGGATGATTTTGAATGGGACAACAGACTGCTTAGAGAGGCCAGGGGATTGGCTACTCAGGATCAAACAAATAATTAAATATATTGAGAATAATGGGAGCCAGGTTTCTTACTGTCACAAAAGGAAAGTATAAAAAGCTCGGGTTGGAGTTGGAGCTGTCCATGTGGATTTTAGTTTACCAGATAGATAGCCAGCCAGACAGACAGACGGACGGGGATATAAATACAAAGGTTTGCATATATATAAGCATACATATAGTTTCTAGTTCTGTTTACTGAGAGGATTTGGGAGCAGCAACACCTCAAAAGAAATTACTCCTAGCACATGGAGCTTGACTTCTAAGTACTCTTCACTGAAAGGAAGGAGAACTCCTTAGAAAAATGTCTGATATCAGCACTGGGATAGGTCAAGTACATGATGAGCCTGGAACATTTTGTTGTAACAGAAGTTTAAAGAATGAGTTCGCAAGGGGCTGAAAGTCTTTCTAGGCAGAGAAACCCGTCAGTACACGGACAGAGAGACATAATCTTTCTTTTTGTGGTGTTCCCTCACTCGGTGAAGGAATTGGTATCCATGCAGTTGTGCGGGCCAGAACCTGGGACTCCTCCCTCACACCTCCCTGGTCCTTGTGTGCTCTGTCATATTTATGTGTAAGTTTGGTCAGTTTTAACCCCTAAATATTTTTGCTTTCTTCAACTTCTCTCTAATCCTGCCAGCGCCATTGTAGCCTGAGCAACTACTCTTTTCCCTGGACTACTTAAGAGTCTTTGCATTCCTGGATCTGCTTACTACCCTTCCCACCCCCCATCACCTTTTCTCCTCTCCTCTCCATGTTGCTGCCGGTCTTTTAAAAATGCAGATCTGAGCATCCATCTCCTCTCCACCACTGCCTCTCCAAAAGACTAAATAAAATTCGGATCATTCACATGGACCTAGCACTTCCTTCTTGTCTCCAGCCACTTGCCCCTGTGCTCTTTGCTATAGAGATTGCAGCACACTTTCGGTGATTTTTTTTGACTCCACACCACTGTGTTCCTTTTTACCTTAAATGCTTTGACGGTATTTCCTGTACCTGGGATGCCTTGCTCCCTAAAGAAAGCCCTCTCTGACATCTAGTCTAGATTAGCATCTCCATCCTAAGCGCTCATAGTACCTTGTACTTTTTCCTTTACTGGGTTTATCACAGTTTATAATTGTGTATTTGTGGAATTATTAGTTGCTGTCTGTTTTCTCCACTAAATTCTAAGCATGTAATTCGGTTGCTGTAGAAGTCTGATCACCTGGCACAGGTGTGTGGTACAACACAACATGCATGAGCAAATGAAGGAGCAAGAGGCTCACGATGTGCTGGGGAAGATGGGCAGACATCCCAGTAACTAAATAACAAAGTGAGCTGAGCATTGTGAATGCCATAATAAAAGCATGAACAAAGGACTCCTAGCATACAGTGAAGGAGAGGTTAATTTCACCTGATGGGATCTAGGAAGGAACAGCTGTTTTATGTGAATTATAATTTCTGGTGGTGAGTTGTTTTCATATTTGTGTCTCCTCTTCCTCTTTTTTGTCAGAGATATAATCTGATTCAACTAAAACCACCCTGCTGTTACAAAGCATGAAGCCCTGGCTCAGACTTTTTTTCAGTTCTATGTAACAATAATTCGTGTTTTAACTCATAATTTAATGCAGGTGAAAAATCTAAATTTTTATGATGTTGTTCTGGATTTTATATTAATGGATTCCTTTGAAGATTTAGAAAACCCACCCACATCCATACAGAATGTAGTAAATAATCGCTGGCTAAACTCCTCCTTCAAAGAAACTGTAAGTGGTGGTTTTCCTTTTTCTCAACCATTTCAATTTGATGAAAAATGGTCAGAACCGGGAAGATTAATAGGATTTATTTATATATCTACCTATAGAATGACTAGTGTGGAAACTGAGCTCATTCTTTGATATTGGGATCAGACGTGTATGATACACTGTATCTTCAGATGAAATTGCTGTTTGGCTCTTCTGTCAGTCCCTCTCTTGACCTGGAGGACCCAGTATTTCTTCAGATCTCGAAATAAACTCAGGCTTCAGACTCGTTCAGGCCTAACCAAAAATTGTAACTGAACTGTCTCTATGACCAAACTGAGATATAGCGGTTGTAAACAGACAGTATGTATTTCTTAGAGGAAGATCTGGAGATTCATGTTCTCAAATAATATCAAAAATTAGGGGAGAAAGGGGTGCCTGGCTGGCTCAGCCGGTAGAGCATGTGACTCTTGATATTGGGGTTGTGAGTTCAATCCCCACATTGGGTGTAGAAATAACTTAAAAATGAAAAATTTGTAAAAATTTTTTAAAAATTAGGGGAGGAAAAGAAATAGGCATATGCAAAAATAAAACAAGTTTAAACTGTATTCTGTACTTTAAATGTTTTCAGTTTCTCTTGTTTTTTTGTATTCAAATCTCTATCTGACATTGTTTCTTTGTTGTGTTTTAAGTGTGTACCTGGAAGCAGGTGGAATAGATATTCAATGCAATGATGCAATTTGAATGCCTTTTAAGAAATGTCCCAGGGGCCTGTTTTACAATTATTTTGGAAATTCCTGCCACTGTATTTTAAAGCATTTTTAATAAATCCACTTTTCCCTTAAAATGTGCTTTAACTATAAAAGGTACATGTTCTCCCATTTCTGTAACTGATTTGGTAAGGTGACCTTGATCAAAGTTGGGCCATGCCAGATTTCTTTAAGATCCACTTGGGTGTTTTAGTCCCCATCATTAAGGTTGTTTTCTTAGTTCTTTATTAGAATAAAACTTTTAGCTCCACCCACAGCTATTTCCAGCAGTACTATTCTTTTTTTTTTTTAATTTTTTTAAAATGTTTATTTCTTTTTGAGAGAGAGAGAGACAGAATGCTAGTGGGTTGGGGCAGAGAGAGAGGAAGGTGCTGAATCTGAAGCAGGTTCCAGGCTCCGAGCTGTCAGCACAGAGCCTGATGCAGGGCTCGAACTTACAAGCTATGAGACCATGACCTGAGCCGAAGTCAGACGCTCAACCGACTGAGCCACCCAGGCGCCCCTCCAGCAGTACTATTCTTGAAGAAAAAAAAATTACTTTGTCTTCATTATTACACATAAAACAATTGTTGTATATGTGTATCTGTGTACACATGTTTTCATTTTCACTCTTTTCCCATCGGAACAGAATTGAAGAACTCTGAGAGTCGAACTATGGTTACCAAGTTTCTGGTACCAGGGTTTAACCTTTTTCCTTCAGTGTCTTTGCATTTGATTTTAAAATTTATAAAAACAAAATATCTTTTCATTATTATTTAGAAACAGTAGAAGGAACCTGGACTAGTTGTTATCAGTGGTTAATGCTTTGGACATTTTAGACTTATAACCTATTAATTTCTAATAAAAATCACTCCTAATGCAAAGTTTATATAGTTATAAATTTAAGTCTTGCTTTTTCTCTTCTGCATTTATCTAGGCTGTAGCTTCAAGTTGTTGGTCAGTGCTGAAACAGAAAAGGCAACAGATGAAGGTAAATTTCATTGTGCCTTAGACCTCTTTGTTGAGTGATTTGAGGCTCCTGTCAGTCCTCAAGTGGGGCAGCAGCTCATAAGGACGGCCCCTCAAGCTGGGTGAAAGGCTTGCTGGTACTGGGTCGGCCTCTCCTGTTTTGAAGTCCTTCTCCCTCTTGAGGCAGCCATGGGATTTCCACTATGTGGGAAAGTGTTTAGGGTTAGAAATGGCTCAGATAGAATTTTTTAAGTAGTTCTGGGGACCACGTATTTGAATAATTTTTGTTTAAAATGATTCCAGAGACCCTGTGTTTTGAACAAGCTTTCCAAATGATGATTATAAACTCAGATGTTTGAGAAACACTGGTTTGGGGCTAGGGAGCTGACTTGTAGACTTGAGCTTAATTCTCTCACCAGATATTATGACCTCGGGCAGTTCCTGACTATCTGCTGAGCTCCAGTTCTCCCTTTTGCAGGATGGAGTTGGTGCCTAGCCCATAGGGTTGCTGTAAAGGTGAAATGAGATAATATCAACCAGCTTCATTTAAACATAAAATAAAGAGCAAATACAAAAACGAATTTAATAAATGCTGGTTACCATAATAATCATGACGACAATAACATATTTAACTTTATTTCTTCTTAGCATAAATCTTGTGCCTTAGTCTAGTCTCCTGCCCATATCCGCAGATACCTGTATATCTCACCTCCTGTGGAACTGTTTTCTGTTACTGGAATGCCATGCTCTATCCTCTATGTTTAATACATCTTGCCTATTGTTGAGTTCAGCTCACATTATTACTTGTATTTCACCCCATGCTAATGTCCTACCTGTCTGAACTCCTCGTATAGTCTATGGGATTTAGAATTTTAATATATGCAGAACCTCTCAGACTGAATGATAACTTGAATGCATCCCTCATAACTTTTTGCCTTCACTGATTAGCTCTGTGTGATTTAGGACAGGTTACTTAACTCCTCCAAAGTATCACTTTCTACATGATTAAAATGATGTTAACACAACCTCCTTTTTCAGAAACTTTCTGTTAAACAGAACCTAGCACATTATCTGGAATATAATGGGTACTCGTTAAATGGTAATTGCTGTTACAATATCTACATTCTTTAAATTGATGTTCAGAAGACATTTTGGAGCCTATAAAATAGAAAATAACCCCTCCAGGAACAGAATCTTGAAGCACAGTTATCCCCAGTTGATGCTATGTGACAAATTCCCCAGGATTTCAGAAGGTTGTTAATAAACTTGGAGAGGTTCCTAAATTACAACTGTGTATGTTACTATCGCACAAGAAGAGGTCATTACACAATTAAATGCCTCGGTAATATCTGGTTCCTCAACCAAAAGTTAGGATTCTAATAAGCATATTTATGTGCTTACTCATTTAAAAATCATTTTGGTCTTTTTCAGATAATCTAATTAAGTGGTTGAGTAGAACTGTTTAATAACTGAAACCCTGGTCATCTCATTCATCCTAAAAATTTCACTGCTGAGGAACACCGTGGCATTCTTGTTATTGCTTGGTTATAACACTCATATGATTGCTTTTTTATGAAGTACTTTTATGAGGTGAAAATGCCTTCAAGAAATAATGTTCCTCAGCACATTTGAAACCATTGGCTAGGATATGTAAATTACATAAAACATTTTGTGACTCTAAAAGTTACTTGTAAGCTTATTCACTTCCTTAGTAGACTTGGTCTGCCCTCAAAAAGAGCTGGTCATGTAATGGGTAGGAATTTAAGTTTCTCTACTAGAGATAGCTAATTCAAGAAGGTGAAAATAATTTGATTCTCATTTACTTCCCAACAGATCCCAGATGGATTTTTTGCCCATTTTTATGCCATTTGCGAGCAAATCAGCCCTGTCCTAGCCTGGGGCTTTTTGGGTCCTAGAAATTCTCTCTATGATTTATGTTGCTTCTTTAAGGTATGTTCAGCCATTGAATCATTTTTTTCTAAATCAAAAAGCAGGTAAGTTTTGTTCTGTTTTGCTTTTGCTTTTGCTTTTGTAGAAAAAAAGAATGTTAAAAAAAGGTAAAGTTATAAAAGTCACCTAAATTCAGTGTTTAAATGCCAGTGGAACATTATTATATAGATTTGGTGCTTTATCCTGGAGTAGATTTTGTAAGTCCATTCACCTTATCAATTCAATTCCGTCTATAATGGAGACGTGTGTGTATGGTGTTACCATGTTACAGTCAAGTTGCTGCAGACAGTTGTTCTTCATCTCTAGACCCTTTTGAAATTGATAAAGCAAATATCGGTCTTTATTGCACATGTAGGCAATTTAGAGGTAAGTTCTGTTCCAGGTTAACATGAATGATAGAACCCTAGTTGTGAGAAATAACACAAAAGTTTAAAGTTGTATCCCAATGCCAGCAGTTTGACAGAACACAAGTTACAGTGTACTGCAGAATTCTATGCCTGGCACAGTGCCAAGAAAAGTCCTTTTTTTTTTTTTTTTTAACGTTTATTTATTTATTTTGAGAGAGGATGAGAGAGAGAGAGAGAGAGAGAGAGAATGCAAGCAGGAGAGAGGCAGAGAGAGAATCCCAAGCAGGCTCTGCACTGTCAGCACAGAGCCCAGCATGGGGCTCGATCCCATGAACCATGAGGTCATGACCTGAGCCGAAATCAAGAGTCACACACTCAACTGACTGAGCCACTCAGGTACCCCAAGTCTCAACCATTTAATAGTCTTGAATCTAAGCTGAGTTTCAAGGAGCAAATAAAAGTAAACATAATCAAGTGAATTTGAAAGTTTTTGATGTTTGTAAGTTTGGGTGTTTCACTAGACTGATGATTTAAAGTTAAATTATTGGGACACCTGAGTGGCTCAGTCGGTTAAGCATCT